ATTTCTGGAACAAAGCCCTTTTCCTCCTTACTTTATACTTTATTTCCCTAGTAAACCACCTACAGAAGGTTGCAATTTCCTACATTTATTCTTGCTGGAAACAGGTATGAAGTCCTCTTGCACTTGCAATAATGTGCTTTTAAAAAATTCCCATGCCTCTTCAACAGTTTTGTTATTTAACTCCATCCAGTTCACATTTTCTAGTTTTAATCTCATACAATTGAAGTTAGCCTTCCTAACATTATATATTTTTGATTTGGACTTTGCTCTTCGGGCACTAAAGGGATCAATGGAGGGAAAAGGTGTAAAGAGACCTACAGTAGGTCTAGGGCCTGGGATTACTTTGATTTAATATTCATGGATGACGTGAAGTGTAGAGAGTGCAATGTAGTGTTAAAATATTACAACACCACCTCTTCTATGTTTAGACACCTGCAGTGTAAACATTCGGTGGATCCAAGTGCACAGAGTGGTAATGTAGACAATGCTGGCATTTCCACTCCAGCAAGGCCTGCTGCTGCTCCACAGCTATGTATGTCTAGCACTGACCTTTTTCTATTCAGTGGGTGTTTGATCAACTTTGTATAGCCTAGTAATGCTATAGTGCAATGTTCTTTGGTTTATATGACAAGAAATTGCAAGCATTTTATACAGTAACATTGTTACATTGATAGTTGGCCCATTCGGACTCAATGTCCCCCGCCTCCCCCGGGACATGGGCGAAGTTCTGCCGGAGGTAGGAGTTGAAACTCCCCCTGACAGGGGATTCCACCAGACGTTCCCAGCAGACCCGCTATACGCTTGGGTCTTCCAGGTCTGACCGGCTTCCTCCCCCACCAGCGGAGCCAACCCACCACCAGGTGGTGATCGGGTGACAGCTCCACCCCTCTCCTCACCCGAGTGTCCAATACATGCGGCCGCAAGTCCGATGACACGACCACAAAGTCGATCATCGAACTGCAGCCTAGGGTGTCCTGGTGCTAAATGCACATATGGACACCCTTATGCTTGAACATGGTGTTCATTATGGACAATCCGTGACGAGCACAGAATTCCAATAACAAAACACCACTCAGGTTCCGATAAGGGGGGGCGTTCCCCCCCAATCACGCCCCACCAGATCTCACTGTCATTGCCCACGTGAGCATTGAAGTCCCCCAGCAGAACAAGAGAGTCCCCTGAGGAGCCCCTTCCAAGGACTCCAAAAAGGGTGGGTATTCTGAACTGCCGTTTGGCGCATAAGCGCAAAAAACAGTCAGGACCCGTCCCCCCACTCGAAGGCGAAGGGAGGCTACCCTCTTGTCCACCGCGGTAAACCCCAATGTACAGGCGCCCAGCCAAGGGGCAATAAGTATGCCCACCCCAGCTCGGTGCCTCTCCCCATGAGCAACTCCAGAGTGGAAGAGGGTCCAACCCCCTTTGAGGAGACTGGTTCCAGAGCCCAGGCCATGCATCGAGGTGAGCCCGACCACATCTAATCGGAACTTCACAGCCTCGCGCACCAGCTCAGGCTCCTTCCCCACCAGAGAGGTGACATTCCATGTCCCTAGAGCTAGCCACTGCCCAACTCAGACTGCACCCGACCCCTATGGCCCCTCCTACAGCTGGTGAGCCCATTGGAGGGGGTCTTGTGAGCCGCACTTCATCTGGTTCCTCAGCCAGGACCTGTTTGCCTTGGGTGACCCTAACAGGGGCATAAAGCCCCGGGCAACTTAGCTCCTGGGATCATTGGAACACGCAAACCCCTCCACCATGATAAGGTGTCGGCCTAATCAGTCATGCACCACATAATATAATAATGCGCTCTATAATTTTCAAATTGCTGATTGTAATCTACTCTCTCCTTTCCTTAACTAACCATTCAGTACTTATAGTATGAAAAACATGTTCTTTCATTTTGTACTACAACTAATAGCTGCTGAGGGTTGCAAACAGTGGGATTTCTTGGTACAACAAAAACACATTTATGTTACTTTAATGTGTATCATGGCTAATAAATGCATAATTTGCCTGTGTTAGTTCTTACTTATAACTATTGAAAACATTAAAGGAATAATATCTTACATTCAGTTGTTCTTTTGCCACTTGTTCCTTGATTATAAGGTCCACAGGCTTTTCGTTGTTTGAACTACGCTCACTGAGCACCACCTCATGTTTTGGGGTGCTATGACTTATTTTAGATGTACTGGATACCCTGTGTACAGGCTACAACTTGCGCTGAAGGAGGCCAGTTGCCTCAACAGTCCAAAAGGCAAATCTAAAGCCATGTCTGAGAGAGAAATGAGGAGCTATGGTTAACAAGTTTTTACTATTAATTTGACCTGCATGGTAATCTGCACCTTAGAATATATTTTTTTCTGCAAAATAACATATTAGCAAATACACATAATAATAAATTATGAAATAATATTTTGAGAAATGCATCAATAGGTAATTAGCTTATGTTTTAATTCAATATGCTTCTGATTTTAAACACTTGTTATAATATTTATCGAAATATTCCTAAAGAAATGTGTGTATCCATTAAACTTTTACATGCTTTTACACAGCTGCACAGTCAACTTACCTTTAAAATGAAATGCCCTTTTTACATGAAGATTCATATATGGGCCTGTCTTTTTGCTGGGTTTAAAGGTAGGACACAGCGGGTAATGAAAAAGTCCCTTACAACAAACATGGCATTCTTCTAGAGCTGGATAGGAACCAGCCTCACAGATAGATCGGTGCATCTGAAAGATTTTTTTCCAATAGTCAGCAAGAGTATAAAAAAGCAATATTACCATTGCAGCACTATAATTACTATAGAGGCTATTAAATAAACTTTTATTACTAATAATGTTTTTGTAATAATTATGCAAAGAATTAAGTGCCTGGAATACAGCCACTTCTGACGATGTTTACTACCTTGTCGAAATATACTACTGAAGTGCGGATCGAACAAAGAATCGAAAAAATATACCGTGTCAAATTACGGTTAGTGTGTAATTTTACATGAAATGACACGAGGAATCGGCAATTGTTCACAATGAGAGCATAGTACGATACTCTTTTAAAACTCAAACATGTTAAATATCATGCTATATTTGATTAGTGCATTCATGGTATCACGTCTCAATGCGATTGAACACACAATAAAAAAAAAAAATACGAGCAAACATGTTTTTAACTGTGAAGCTCTAAGGAACTTGACTTAAATTATGATCTCCACATTGCTCCATTTCCGGCTATTTCCTCCGTAAACACTACACTAAGAGGTTAATTTGTATATTTTGTAGAAATACATATGTTTTTACTTTAATAAGTCCACTGTTTTCTTGTCCAAAATATGAAATAAAATATTTGCGACATTCCATTTTATCGAGATGAGGTTGTGTATTTATTTGGAGAACGGACAACCTGTAAAACTCCACTCCTAACCATTTTAAGGAGGGACGTCCTGTAAAACTCCACTTCCTACTAAACTCCAGTTCCTGTAAAACTCCACGCTCGAGAAAGCAGCCGGCAGGTGACGGGCACACATGACGGGCCCGGCTCGCGAGACTCACAAAAGATATCGCGGTATTTTCTCTGGAGCGCTACTTCTGTGACCATGGTGATTGTAAACAAGCTAGACAGAAATGGAAGTGCCCGGGGAATCAGACGACGGTCCTTTTTATTTTGAGCAGGTCTCCATACCAGAAGACTCCGAGGATGGTTACCAGTATAAGGAAGTCACTCTTGATGATGACAGCAGCCACACAGAGGAGGATGAGGGTTTGGAGGCCACTGTGAAAGCGACACGGGAGCACACTGAAGGCACAGGGTCAGTGGACCACAGAATTTTCAAGGATGCTAGCAAGGTGTCCCACATACCTGAAACAGTTGATGACTTCCTCCGGAATTTCCTCGTCAAGATGCGGATGCAAAGAACGCTGCAGAGTTTTCAGACGGAGTGGTATGAGATGGCGCAGCAGGGTGAGCTCAGAGCAGAGCTGGCAGGCTCAGTGCCTGATGCCTACACCCACAACCAGCTCCTGGAGAAGCAGCTGGAGGACATGCAGCGAGAGCGTGACACTTACAGGAGAGAGTCCCTCAAAGCCTCGGAGGCCCTGGCCAAGGTGCAGAAAGAGCGCGACTTTCACTGCATGCAGCACAAGCGCGTACTCCAGGAGAAGAACAGACTGACAGAGGAACTCAGGAAGCTGCAGAAGCACCATGCATCTTGTGAGGCAGCTCTCAGCCTGCTGACGCATAAGTACCAGGAGAGTCTGAAACAGAAGGTGCTAATCAGCCTGGAGAGGGACAAGGCACTGGGACGGCATCGCAACACCAGCACCAGCAGGACACAGCTTCAGGAGGCGAAGTCAGCCTGTGGTGCCTCCCAAGCGAGACCTGAGCGAGATGGCAGCAGAGAAGCAGGAGCAGTAGCACCAGCTGGCATGTCTGACTCTCCCGCCCGACCCACCACTCGGAGCAGCGCAGGGAGACACTCCAAAGACTCCGAGTTCCCTGCCGACACACGTGTCAGTCCCCTGCTCTCCCAGAGGAGGGCGCTGTCGGTCAAGGCCTCAGGCTTTCGGCTGAGCGGCACCCTACAGGCCCACATGCTGCCCATCAGTGGCCTGGCACTGCACCCGCGTAAGTTGCTGGTGGCCACAGCCAGTGACGAGGGCACATGGAAGCTGCTGGAGGTGCCAGGGGGCCAGGTTGTCGCCAGCGTGGGGGGGGAACATGGGGATTGGCTGTCAGGGTGCTGTTTCCACTCAGATGGCAAGACCCTGGCCACCAGCGGCGGAGATGCTGCGGTGAGACTGTGGGACACGGAGCGGGGCGGCTGTGTGCTGACACTGCGAGGCCATGCCAGCGCTGTGTGGGGCTGCTCCTTCCACTCCTGCGGTCTCTTCCTGGCCTCCTGCTCACAGGATGGCACGGGGAGGCTGTGGGACCTGCAAAGCGAGCGCTGCCGGGGGGTGCTGCGTGGCCACGCCTGCGCCGTCAACAGTGTGGCCTTCCTGGTTTCCTCCAGCACGCTGCTGACCGCCTCGGCCGACAGCACCGTGGCCCTGTGGGACGCCCGCACGTGTCTGCGCGCCACGACCTTCACCGGCCACCAGCACCCCTGCAACCACGCGACATTCAGCGCCAGCGGCGACGCCTTGGCCTCCTGCGACTCACGGGGCATCGTGAAGCTGTGGGATGTGCGGACAGCGCAGGCTGTGGCCGTTGTGGACCTTGGCCCGCATGCCACCAACCAGGTGGCCTTTGGCCCGTTGGGGCGGGAGCTAGCCGTCGCTGGGGATGATGGCACCATCAAGGTGGTGGAGATCAGCTCAGCGCAGGTGAACGGCCTGACAGGGCACGAGGGTGCAGTCCACAGCGTGGTGTTCGACCACAGAGGCGAGCGCCTCCTGTCTGGAGGCTCCGATGGGACCGTGCGAATCTGGGAATGAAGCGGCTCGCATGCAGCATGACCTTTAACCCCCCGGGAAGTAAGATGCTTAACCAATGCAGAGAAAAGCCGTACTGCTGGTCAATGTGACCAAGCAACATCCACATTGTTAGTAAGTAAATTAGTTACATATGAAATTAAGCTGAAATAAAACATTTTATGGCAAATGCTGTCTGACTATAGATGTTATTGTACAAGAACACCCACGCCTGCAAGTGCCTAACCACAGGACCACACATATAAATGCATGAGAAAGAACTTTTGTTGATGTTGTTGGACCAAAAAAGGCAGCTTAAAGAAACAGCTAAACAGGGGATTTTCACTTTTATTACAAACACACAACATAACCAAATCTGTCACAGAACCCAAAGCAAACAGAGGATGTACTGTATAGAGGCAGAGAAACAAAGCACACAGTTTACATGCATATGAACTCAAAGCACTCCCTGCTTGTACTCCACCATGATGTGGGGCTCCCCCATCACCTCACTCTGCGCTGGATCTGTAAGGACAGCAGTGGGAGCCAGTTACCAAGGGAACACAGCCCGGATCATAGTGTCCGGCCCCCAGTCAGGCCTCATATGAGTCCCTACCACATTCTTACCATTAAGTATGTCCTCAAAGCCGATGTATTCATCGCTGCCCCTGAGTGTATCCAAGGCGATGTTGGAGCTTTGCAGGAAGGGCAGCCTCTGGATCTGCATTGGGGGGGGTCGGGGAATCAGGTGGTATGTGAAGCAAGCCTTCCTCCAAAGAGCGTAAGGGCTCATGCTCCCTCCCTCCTGCCTACCTGCCGCGCAGCCCGGTACTCCATCTGCAGCTTGAGCGGCGCATGCAGTCCCTGGATGTTCCTCAGTGTGGCAAAGTTCATCTTGTCCTGGTTAAGCTGGAACTGTGGGGAGATGCATCGAGAGCAGGTAAGCCAGCGGGGAGAGGGGTGACCTCAAAGAGAGGTTAGCTGAGCTGAATCTGTTTAGCCTCGAGCAAAGGAGACTAAGGAGGGACATGATCCAGGTATATAAGTTTCTAACAGGTCTTGATGCTGTTCAGCCAAATGGCTACTTCAATATTAGTTTAAATACTAGAACTCGTGGCCATAAGTGGAAATTTAAAACGAATTTGAGAGAGCGCTTCTTTACACAGAGTGTAGTTAGAGTATGGAATAGTCTTCCTGCTAGTGTAGCGGAAGCTAAAACCCTGGGTTCCTTTAAATTAGAGCTAGATAACATTTTAACAACTCTGAGCTATTAGTTAAGTTCTCCCCAAACGAGCTTGATGGGCCGAATGGCCTCCTCTCGTTTGTAAATTTCTTATGTTCTTAGAGGGGGGCAAGGCCACACAGGAAGATCACCCACATGCGCCCATAACTCACGTTCTTCTCAGACAGCTCCAGTGGGTGACTCGGCAGCAGCTCATTCTTCACGCTGGTGAAGCTGCAATCAAGTGGCAGCCAATCAGTCACTGTCACTCGAACAGCTGCTCGTTTGTTTTTTTTTTGTTGTTTTTTTTTTAACATTACAATCACTCTCACCGGCTGACTTTTTATTCATTAATTTTCAGCCACTGTTACACTTCACCTTTGCTGTATGAAAAGGCCACTTTCTTAACCGGTGTACCTGCGCAGTCGGCTTTGAATGTCAGCCTGGTTTCGAAACATATACCTCAGTGTGATAAACAGGCTGAACATGCAGCTACTGCTGCTGGCTTCACACTTTCACACACTGCACTCACCCCTTGCGAAGGGTGTCCTGCACTCCATACGCTCCAGCCTGCGGGCAGAGACCCGTCACGGCGACGGTGTCCTTCAGCTGGGATCTCAGGCCACGGGTATTCTGGGGCATAACCAGGGGCAAACAAACACAGGGTCAGCACTGACACGGAGAGCTCAGTCTCAATAGTCATACATAAATCAGCAAACCAATTTTCGCACCACATTGAACACTACAGGTAAGGCATTTACTAATCCTAAAGAAGGGGATGTTTGTCCAGGAGTATAAAATAAACCACAATCCCAGGACGACGGGCCACGATACGAAAATAAACAAAAAAATTAAGTAAATAATAAGGACAACGGTGGCATGGTCAGCATCTACAGCAGAGGAAAAAGGGGCCGCTCGGCCAGCGCAGGCGTTTTGCCCGACCCTCTGCATCATGACATGTTAGTTTCACTTTCGCACAAACGCCGCGTCTCCTCACATTGCCATCTAATAAGTACAGTTAAAAGCGAGTGAAGCTAATCCCGCCACAGGCAAATAAAAGCACGAACACGAGACGCACTCAAACGCACCCTAAATCGGTAACTTGGAAAGCGAGGTAACCAAACTAGCAACCGGCTAAGCGGAGTGACTAATCAAAACAGGGCGACTGGTAAACGGAGCTCCAGAAGTAATTGAAGCTCGGTGATTAACTTTCCCGTATACTAACGAGGCATATCGAGACTCCCCACACAGAAATCTTATAATGTAAATCAGCAGCAACACTCACCATGACAATAACTCGGCCGTACACTTCTCCGCACAGCTCAACCGTCACACCAATCAGGTACTTCCGGTCTACTGCGAGTATGATGATGTCATTTCCTCTGACTATAAAAACGTAACTTCCCATCGAGAGAAACTCGCATGTAATATACTCTTCCGTATTTAACTATTTATTTGTATATCAAAAGTCACATAAATAATGCATACTTTGCAATATTCAGTTTATTTCTATAATAGCCCGAAAAAAGCTGATCAAGAAAAACCTCTAACAATAATCACTTTATATAGGATATTTTGCTTTCATTTTTACAGTTGGGGGTATAGCTCAGTGGTAGAGCATTTGACTGCAGATCAAGAGGTCCCCGGTTCAAATCCGGGTGCCCCCTTTCTTTTTTTTTTATTTTTAAAGTATGATCAATTACACAACGCGATTGGTGTTTATCACATTATTATTATTTTTATTACTGTTATAATCATTACCAAATAACACCTTCATGAATAAAGCCAGAGGCTGAGGTGTCAATTTGCAGAGTGAATTGAACACATCTCCTTCCATTCATATAAAATGATGTGCTGCAGAATTTGGGTAAAATGTGTCTTTATTGTTTTCCTGCTCTGATATCACCTGATTTTAAACATCTCCTAAGGAATGAGAAATGTTATAACAATTTATAAACACAAGCAGACATAATAGTACAAACTATCTCACACGTGAACAGAGTTAGCCTTTTGCTCTGTTCTACCTGGGATAAGCTTCAGGCCCTACAGTTCAGTGCCTTAACATCTCCTGCATTGACTGGTGGCTGTCAGACAGAGCACTGTGATGCATGAGCTCCCTGCCTATAAACATCGACTGGGTTCAGTTATTATCCATCAGCAGGTGGCAGCAGAATTTAAAGCCAGCAGAGAGCTGCTCATGACTGGGGCGAGATGTTTGGTCAACACAGAGCCTGTTTTTCTCCTTTCTGATAGATTTGATCTGCATGTTTGTTTGACTCACACAGACCTGCTACGCATGCTGCTACATGTAATACTGATATAAAATAATATATGCTTTCATTTTATGTGTCGATCATGAATCCCTGAGGATCCTCTGCTGGCCATGCTCTTTCTTCCCATGATGCATCTGGGGAGAAAAACCCATTAGGAGCAGTAACCTTAACTCATCTGCAGCCACATAACCTCCTTCCTCTTCTTCATCCACAATGGACCTGAATCACCTTAGTGCTGGTCTCCAGGGTGACAGGATCCCTATGCAGGGAGAAAGGAGGTGGTAATCCTTCTGTTAGTGATTGCTAGTGCTGGTGAAGGCACCAGTCAGAGTGGTCATACTGAGCTAAGGCATTATGCTTGTGGAGCTTCTGGATCACTGAGTCTTGTGGGGGTGGGCAGGGTGAATTGCCTGGGCCTGCCTGGGCCTGCCTGTCCACTAAGGGTCAAGGACCTTGTGGTAGATGTTTGGGGGAAAGGCAGTCTGCTAGGAAACAGTAAACTCTTGAATGGGGTCCTTACAATGTGGGCGTGATTGGCTTAGACTGGAGCAGAAGATCAACGCTATATGGAAGAGATGGAAGTGACACACTGACAGCACACACAGGGTGGTGTGTAGTTCTGCAGGTTAAAGCTGACTAGAAGGTCACTGGCTCAAATCCCATGATTGGCAGAGTGATGTCACCGTTGGGCCCTTATCCCCAGGGACTGGCTGACAGGCATCAGGACAGAGCTGAGATGAGGTAAGCTGAGAGGGAGTGGACCAGACTGCAGTCCAAAACCTCTTTCCTTTCATCAGCATCAACAATGAGCCATCCAGGGCTGAGCCAGAAAAGCTAGCGGCATCACGGGTGGGTCTGCTCACTTATACTGGCGGCGTCCAAGAAAAACACAATGTGATGAGTAACAGCACAAAGCCTGGGGACATGAAGGGACATGGGACAGCTGGCTCTTAACACACAGCTGGGGACACGGGACATGGCGCTATGCAGCCTTCAATCTACTACCTCACACAGACCAGCACAGAAAACTGAGTCTTTGATGGACTTTGGGGGGGGGGTGGACCTTAGACCCCAAGAGGATTTTTTTCTCCCTATGTTGGGAGTTTTTGGCTCCTCTCCTCTGTTGTCATCTTGCTTCATTATTTTACTTCTTAGTCTTTCCTTTTCCCTGTTTTTGAATTATTCTGCATAAATGATGTAGGAATGTATTACAACACACCTATGTGAAGTGGCCTTGGGGTGACTTTGTTCTGAAAGGCACTATATAAAAATAAATTAAATAAGGCACTCCTGGGGACACCTGGGGACATGGACAGGTCTCTATTTACCATAAGACACACCTTCAGGCACTGGCCTGACTACTGGCCTGTGTGTCACGGACACCCCACTCCCACTGTACCCCGCAGGACACTGTAGGACAGAACAGCATTTTTTGTTTAAGTGCCCATTCATGGTCACAGAGATAACGCTTTCATTTCAGCCAGTTAATTATAATTTATACTATATTTCTGTCTACTAAAATGGACACTGATTAACCAAGTAATTATGAGCAGTAACAGCTCACATATATCCATTTCTATAAATACCCACTTCTGGTTCTATACTCTTATTTATAAATTCCCAGATCTGTTTAACTATAAGCAGGTATTTATTTATACACTGTGTGCACAAATCCAGTGTCATCCTCCCAGGCTACATTCAGTAGGCTTATAGCAGTGAAGATATTAATGATGCAGATGAATTTCCCATGTAGCCAATGGTGTGTTCTGATAGAGAGGAGATTCCTAGAACGTTACCATTCATGGTCCCCATGAATTTTTCAGATTCTCTTCAAATTTGGGGGTCATTCTCTCTGCATAACAGGGTGCATCTACCGAGCATGCTCGGTGTGCGCCAAGCTTCTTAAAATCCTCAGTCGGCCGGTATTACCGGGGCCATTCTAGAAACCTCCATGGAAATGTCAGAATTTCAACCTGTTTACAGACAAGCTCTGGGAGACATTCCCCCGCTCACACAACTGCACAGTAGCATCAGAAACCTGACACTCTTATTTGTCTTTATGAACTGGAATGCATGGATTAGCTAGGTGCGGCTGCTACTATTTATCCATTTATTGTGTTTTGTTTTATACGCACCTGAACTATTTCACACACCCGTGTAAAACTCTGAGGACAAAAGCTCTCCAAAATGCAGGGAACACAATACGGTGCCCAGTCGACTGTCCATCCTGTTCATGGTGCAGAGCCGCATACCCAAGGGGACGGCCTCAGTGTAACATGAGGGTTCCTCGGGGTGTCACTTCCTCACCCACCTCTCCATTTACCGACAAATTGTGTTTTTATTGCTTGTTTATGGCTTGACATCCCTGGGGTAGTATGGCAGCCATCATTGCAAGGAAGCCCCACCCACAGTACACCAAGGGAGCTTCGGGGGCTGATCTGTTAAAGCTGATCAGTGAATGAGGCTGACTGGCTAAATAGGAAGCAGGACATCACTCATCTCTGGGTGGAATGACCTGGAAAGAGGATTCATAGAGGCAATACTAAACCCCAGTCTCCCCCCACCCCATCCCCAGCACACCTCAAGCAATGCTTCAACCTAAAACTCTTTAAGACGTAGAAGTCTGTACTGACTAACACATCTGGCACTCACGCACAACTAATAAGCTAGTGTTCAAAGGTAAAACGGCAGTAGCTGTGGGCGACACCCACTAATATAGCTTCTTCCGGGGCCAGGGGGGCCCTGTGTGATTTTTGACTCTTAGTGGAGCCGCCAGCATTCTCTGCTCAGGCTTGTCATTGCAGGCTGCTGGTTCTGCTTAGTGTTTCTGACCGGGTCGAGGCAGTATGCCAGGCTGGATCCCGTCATTTGGGGAAGGGTGAGCTAGCTGTCGGGTAATATTTGGTGTAAATATAGTAGCGGCCACATGGGGTGCTGCTGAGCAAATGTGGAAACGCTCTACATACACACTCTCTGGCTTGGGTGTGGTGCCATGATCCACACACTAGCAAAAAAGCAAAGCAGCGCAAGGGCTCAACTTTCCATCTGCATTCACTGAGTTTACACCACACATGTAGCTGGACCTGTCTCCATCTTTCACAGCAGTGAACATTTACACTGTGTGCAGAATTAAATGGAAGTACTATTCCTTGAGGAAATTTTTTAGCAAAACTTAGGCAGACTTATACAAGTCTTTTGCTTCAAGAAAATTTATTTAGAGAGAAAATTTTACATTAGTCTGTCACAAACAAGCCGTTCTATACAGTCCACTTTGCCAAGTTTAATGCCCCGTATGGTCACATTTCTTCTTAGTGATCATCATGAGCCTGTTGTCCATTGAACCAGTCAAGTTTTTAATTCGATACTATCCTATATTAGCTAAGGCAGCTAGGACTGCCTCCTAGATGCTGCTGAGAAGTTTACTGTCTACTACCTTAATAAATCTCACATTTTAGTAATGCCCAGTAGTTCTCAAAGGGTGTTAAGTTAGGTGATGAAGGGGGCCTGGTCATAATTCAATCACCTTTCCAGCCTTTCTTGGCCAATGTATAGATACTTCAATTCATGCTAAGGAGCATTGTTCTGCATGAATATCATGACCTTTTTTAAAACCTGCTAACTACTTCTTATACCAGTATTTAAAGAAGGTGTAATGGGAGAAAGATCATGGGGTTCATTTTTACACTATCTTCAAGTTGGAAAGTTCAGACAAGTTCATCACTGATAATTGTGGTCCACACCATCAGTCCTCCACCACCTGGTCAGTGCTTGAAGAAGGTGTCCATCACAGGCCTGTGTACCTGCTCCATCAAGCGTCACTTTCATCTTATCTATCCGCAAGACCTTTGTAAAATCAGTATTGAGATGTGCCTGTGTTCATTTGTGATGTGTTATCTTGCATGCTTTATTGAGTAGAGGCCTTTTTGACCTTAGCCATGTCACGTAGCTCACTGCACCTATTACTTCTGGAGATTCTGCTCATATTGCAGTTTTGAAATCTCATGCCATTTGATGGTAAAAAGTATCTGGAAGTCTCCCCTTTAATTTCAGTAAATGTGCGTCTTCTTGTAGCTACATGCTTCTTCCATCTTTGGCTGTTAGCCACAAAACATTAGATTGTACGATGATCACATTTGTTTTGCATCCCTCTGACAGGCACACATCGTTATTTTGTTTTTTTTCCCCACTTTGTCCTCTTTTGTCCCATTGTAATAGTAATAATAATTTGTTTAATAATTCTGCACAGGGAAGAATCTAAGGTTTCCGATCAGCAAAGCACTCAGACCAAATACTAAGTATGATCTATTTTTACACAGTTCATTCATAATAAGAGATTAATCTTGCCTGAAATTATTGGTCTGAAGAGAAGATACAAGCAAAATACAAACTTGCCTAATAATTCTGAATGAGGTGTATATGACAAGAAAAGATAGCAAAGAGATAATGTTAAAATCACAAAGAATTAAGTGTGTGTATTCTGTGATCTCCCAGCTTGCTACACACCAGCACAGACCGCAGCACACATGGAACATGTAACATGAGACAGCGGGCATGTTAACATGTGACAGCATCATGTCACAAAAGGGTACAGAGGGTTACATTTCATGGTGCATTTTTTCGTAAAAGCGGAAGGGTTACCCTGCTTTACTAGATAATATAAAGGTCAAAGTGGCTTCTTCTATGTAAATTTTAGAGGTGTTACCAAGGTAGAGATTTCATACAGTGAAAAGGAAACTCTACCGTAGGTAGTTTCTTTCTGGAATCTCATTACCGACTAAAAAATTCTGGTAATTCAGGATTGAGGTTAGTCATTCCTCAGCTTACACATGTCTTGTGATTAACTCCATATTATTTGTACCAAACAAATTTTCATTGTTATATTGCGATAAACTACTTAGGAGCACGCAGAGGGCAGTTGCTACAGCAACTGAGTGCACGCACAACGATCAGGTTCACAAGAGTGACATCAGGGCTTTCATTACTTCCAAATTCCTGGCAGATGTGTGCAGGTCAAATGATGCTGCGTTTCCATGGTTACCATTATCGGGAGATTACCCGCTCACACACTCTGCCTTTACTCTCATTTTCTTAATCACTGGTGATCTGGAGTGATCACCAGCCCAGACACGGTCCAACACCCACCTCCAGAGTGAGGCAGACTCTTTCTCCGACGTGTACGGTCAGGCTCTGGCTGTTCTTTACTTCACAAAAAGCACCAAACCCACTCTTAAAACACATTGCATCATCTTTTCATTCAGTAGTTCATAACTGTGGATTTCGCTTAAAAATGGCTCTTGTTCTTGTTGTCATAGTGATGAGAATACATCTACATTTATTAACACAGGATGGATCTTAACATACTGCTTGGAGCAGTTTCTTTGTAACATGGCTGTTTAAGTGTCTAAATATGATCACCTGACAGGCATTTGATCTAATCCCCTGCTCATACCTGCCCGATTATCTTAGGTAAGTGAACAGGTATTATCAGTCTTGCCGGCACCCTGCCTCCATAGCTCTGTGAACAGATAACGCAATACACACAGCTGCTGAAGATCATCTTGGATGCCGATGTACACAATGTGCTACGAATGAGTTTGCTGGTGACAGCTGCTGTCAATCCCTGTCACCCTCTCCCCCCAGTGAGGCCCCAGCTCCAAGTCCAAGTAGCCCGTCGGAAACCTCCTTAGCAGTAAACGCAGCCATGGCAGGCATGATGTGATGGGCCCTCAATAGCATGAGCATACAGGGCTCCATCTCCGTAACAACAGTAGAAAAACAGAATCGTTTTCATGGAAGACTCCATCTTTAAAGCAAGAGGTATCTAGGGCTGCAGTGAACTAAGGCATGCACTCAGCCTTCAGCGATGTGACCGTCAGCAAGCAGCACGTCACAGAGCTGCATTCCTCCCTCCGAGGCAGGGCTGCGTGGCAGTGCTTCCCACACCATTTGTCTTACATCACAGGGGCCCTCACCTGACCAGCAGGGCTCCGTCTCTCGCATGTAAATGGCAGGCCTCTTCTTAATGTATCAAGCCATCATTTATCATTGTCCCGTTCATCACTGGTTGCCTTACCCTCACTACATGCAGACACTCCTCCTGGGTGTGACTCCCCCCCCACCACCAGCACTGGGAGTAGGCCGGACTCTTAGCATTCCCCCCCCCCCCCGCACTAGTCACAAAATGTCTCTGTGTGAAACCAAAACAACTGCCTTAGTCACCGCGATTGCCGTGTTGGCATTGGACGAAGAGCTAAAGTATTCTTTGAGAACAGGACGGACAAGCCTGTAATTACATGGACTTCAGAAATTGCGATCAACATTGCCCATAATGGCATGAACATTCACAAAACACATGACATGTGCATGTTTGAGCCACTGGGGGCAGAGCGAGGGGAATAACACACCCAGGGATCACCATAGCGGCAGGTATTGTAGATGAATTTTGGGGACATGTTATTAAGAGACACTGGCATCTCACCCAGGTCCCCCACCTAATGCCTAAGACTGGCCAGGACTGCCACCAAGGTAACGGTTACCCTCTGCTGGATAATGGAGATACGCATGGACATGGCTCAGAACGCTGCTCTGAAGAAACAATTTAGGTGCCAGAGACATTGTTGTTGTTCCTGGATCCACCCTCGATTACACAACTGTGCAAAAACACCACCAGCGTGGTTTAGAGTTTGTTACACATTTCTAGGAGAAAAATAATTCACTCCAAAACCTTAACAGCTGATTTTTTTATTAGTGAAAATAACTGGAATTGCTGACACATGCTCATGATGCTGTGCTAAGCAGCCATTTCAGTTAACAGTGACTTAGCTATATATGGAAATGTGGTTTGTGTTATTGTGGGTGGAGCTCACCTCAGTGGAATGTGCTGGAAACAATAACTGAAAGGCAGATAAACACTGCGGGTGCATTCCACACATCTAGGCCGGCAGAGTCGTTCTTTATCTAAACGACGGTTTGGTCAGTTAGCATCAAATCGCGGGTGATGTCACATTCCATGGCCCGGTTTTATGAAGCTGTTGACAACCAGCAAACCAACCCACTAATATGCTGATAACCTCACGGGCAGCACCTGCTGCAAGTTCAAAGGCACTAACATCATATATATGTATGTGTGTGTGTGTGGGTGAGTGGATTAAGTTTATATTACATTGTGGGGACCAAATGTCCCCAACAATGTAATAAAAGCCTTTTATTCTGATGCTGGGCACCATTTTCAGGTTCCCACAAAGATCTGTGAATGCAATCAAAAAACTAAAAATGCCAAAATTCTCTTATTTTGTTTGGTTACTTATGGTTAAAGTTAGGGCTGGGTAGGGGTTAAGGTTGTCAATTTCGTGATTAAAGATTTCACCATAGAAATGAATGGAGAGTCCCCACAAAGATATAATCACAAACCTCTGTGTGTGTCTGTGTGTGTGTGTGTGTGTGTGTGAGCGGGTTTACCTATCCTTATGGGGACATAATGTCCCCATAATGTGATATCCGTTTTTTTTCCCTTATGGGGGCCGGTTTCCTGGCCCCCATAAGGGAAAACTCTATTTTATAAAAATCGGTGACTGCTATGAAAAAACTAAAAATGCAAAAATTGTAACAAAATTATTGTATTTTGTTAGGTTACTTATGGTTATGGTTAGGGCAGGGTGGGGGTTAAGGTTGTCATAGTTAGCATTAGCATTTTTCCCACTGAAATGAATGATGTGGTCCCCATAAGGATATGTTTACTCTACGTGTGTGTGTGTGTGTGTGTGTGTGTGAGCGGGTGTGTGTGTGTGTGTGTACGTTCAGGAAATCCTAGAGTTACATAAATTACAGACAAAATTAAATTACATTTTTTTTAATCAAAGTACATTTGAAAAAGAACAGAAACAAAACACCATGTCAGAAAATAGCATGATTTTTTTTATAAAAAAAACATTTAAATAGCAACTTCAACCAACTGAAATAATGTAAGATTGGAGATAAGGAGAATCAAAGTGCATCAATTGGAAAGGCTGGCTTGAGAGCAGATGTAAGGAATCCTTAAACCATTAAAAAAAAAAAAAAATCAATATTTTGGTTTCATAATTAAATGTAGACGCAGCCATGGATAACAATGAGTAGCTGACCCAGAGATCAGAAAACCCTAGAACATTGTCCACTTTTATAGTTCTGTCTCCTTCTCACCTTTGTCACCATTCAGGTAATACTCATCGTCTGTGGTGGTATCTGAGTCAGACTCCCCAAGGTCTGACAGGCTTGACTTGTATCCCCTGGAGGGCAAACACCCTCTGGGGGACAGGCTGTCTGGTGAGGTCAAGCTACTCCTGGGTGAGGAGCTGGGTGGTCGAGACATCCGTGGGGGAGAAAAGAGGGGTGATGGTGGGGGTGATGGCGACAATTCATCAGCCTGTACAGAGGAAGGCTTGTGCAGGCTGGGAGGTGACAGATTCCTGCCTGTGGTCACCTGCTTCCCACTCTCATCCCTGTAAACAGCTTGATCTATGCTGCAGGACTGAGCCCGGGATCGCTGCTTCGGCACAACGTCCAAAATATCAGCGCCTCTGAGGCTGTCAATGCTTGTCATTCTAGGAACAGTGGCCATGCGAGCAGAGCCAGATGGGCGGCTGGCGTGGACATTACTCACAGAAAACGAACGTCCAGCCTTCAGGCTGAAATCTGAGAAAGGATGACTCTGGCTCTCTTGAGAGATGTCCTTAAGACTCCTGGAAAGAGACGTGTTCCCAGTCCTGTCAGCAGCACCAACCTGTCCACCCACACATACCTGGTAGTCATTTAGTTCAGAGAAAGAAATGGTCTTCTTCCTTTTGGACTTCCTTTCTAAGCTCCCTCTGTAGAAGACATTTTCATTATCGGCATCATCAGAATCAAAGTCAAAGCTTAACTGGCTACTTCTGGGACTGAGCGAGGATCTCCTGGGTCCTGGGACAAGGGTGTAACGTTCAACAGAGACACTGTGGGTATTTACAGGTGAGTATGGACTCCTTTGGTAGGAGGAGTTCCTACTCTTATCAAAGAGACAGTTTGAACTACTACTTATGCTGTCTATCTCAGATACATTTTTGGGTTGGTTGTTCTCTTCAGTCAACCATGATGTCTGACTGTAGTCAAGATGAAAATCTGCCACCTCCTTTTCAATGATGTTCTTGTGGACCCTTGAAACATCCTCTTTTGCGGTGCTTGAGACAGAGCTGCTGGTTCTGTTTTGGATGAGTGGCATCTCGACCCTGCTTTTCTTCCTCGATGTCTGAAGTTCATCTTCAAACTGCTTTGAACTGAAACTCATCTTGGTGCCATTTGACATCACATCAGAGTTATTCCTACCCTGGTTCTCTTTTACTTCTATTGTTTCACATTCAGTAAAGTAAAAATCGGTTGCCACCACAGGAGACATTGGGCTGGTATGGTCTTTCTTGCTTGTTAATGTCAGTAGACTCTTATGTGAGTTCTGTTCCTGTATAGACACAAACCTATGATCTCGCAGTGGCTTCTCCAGTGCTTTCTCATCTTTAGCCCTGAGATTGGCAGACTGGTACCAGACCTCATCTATGCTAACCACTATACCAGTCGGCTTTTTTCTGAGAACTGTGTTTTTGCCTTGCTCCCGGTTAAACCCAAGAAGCCCTGAACCTCCACAGTCAGCATTCTGTAACTTCTCTGCAGTTTTGGTGTTAGGATTGAAAATGTTGTCAGACACTTCACTGACATTCATATTCAATGCTTGCTTCTGTAAATCAGGACTAGACAATTTAACGTTTCCTGATAGGTCAAAGGAACCTTCACTGTATGTACTGATATCAACCACGGACTCTGAGGAAAACATCCTCTTTGAGTCAGGGAGGGGTGACAGAGGTTGAGAACTTCTGCTAACTGTGGTGTTCAGGTAAGCAGTCTCCGATGATAATCTTTGGGCCGCTTCTGAGTGTGTATCCTTAGCTGAGGACCAGGCAGGATGTCTGCTGTGAAAACAGTGCTGCCTGCAAGATGTAATCCTGTTATTTTCTGTGGGGCTTAAAGGGGATTCTCTGAGTTCTGGATCAGGGAACTTCTGTGTGGGGGAGACAACTCTGGGAGGACTGTATTGTCTCTGGGAAGAGTAAGTTTTGAGAGCACCCACACTGCAAACTGATCTTGTCTGCAGCACAGGACAACTCAGTGGTGATGGACTACATGTAGTGTCCCCACTGTGGGACAAGCTAGCCCCCTCACTGTTACGTGATAAGAAGCTGGCAGTGGAATAAGAAAGTCCTTCTAAACTTGGAATTCTTGAATTTCTCACTTTAACGGGTGGTATCTCCGATAGTATGGGACTGGATGATGCTGTTGAACTATCAGTTTTTGAGCTTTCCACATCAGACGATTTATTTACTGTAACGACTGTCTGTGCTCCACTTGAACTCAGGATCTTTGTATTATTTATACTGTTGTGAGATTCTTTTGACAAATTAGAATTATTCTGACTTGTTGGATTTTGAATGCTTGCATTATTCAGACTTGATCTTATTGACAATGAAGGACCATTTATTTCCACTGGTGTGATGCTACTCTGGGGCAATCTGGTTAAATTAGCCTGTGATACTGGACTGTGGGTCCTCACATTTGGACTGTCTAAAAATTTAAATGGCCTTGATGCTGCACTGGGACTTGTTGTTTTTGTTAGACTTTCAACTTTTTTATCATCAATATTTTGAGGCAATTCTGTGGGCAACACATTAGTAGTCAGGAAGAGTGGATTGTGAGACATAGAACTATTCACATCTTGGTGAGATACAGCTGGAGAAGATGACCTTGGCACTGCCCCTGGACTGAGAAATATTGAGTTGTCCACACTGTGAGAAGATCTTCTTGGTGATGTGGGGCTGGTCACAGCCTTTGGGCTATGAGTTTTTGAATTGTCCACAGAATAGGAAAAAGTTGTTTGTGATGAAGGACTGTTCATAACCATTGATCTGTGAATGTTTGAGTTGTCAATAGTGCTGGAAGATCTTGCTGATCTTGTCATGCTGGTCACATCAGGTGGATTGAGGGCTACTGGATGGTCCATGCCTTGGGATGCTCCAGGGCTTATAATAGCCCTTATCCTGTGAGTTACTGAATTGTCCACAAATTGGGAAGATTTTCCTGGTGTTACAGGACTAGTCACAGCCATAGACCTGGGAGGAGTTGAATGGTCCACATTCCCAGAAGATCTTCTTGGGGATGCAGGAATTCTCACAACCAGTACTCTGTGAATTTCTGAATTGTCCACACTGTTGGATGATTTTCCTAGTGTTGTGGGGTTAGTCTCACCAGTTGAACAAAGAGTCATTGGACTCTCCTCAAAGTGGCAGCTTCTCTCTGGTGTTGTGGGACTAGTCACAGCCGTAGGACTGAGAGTATTTGCAGAGTAATGCTCCTTCAATGTGTGGATAGGGACAGCCCCTTCTTTCGGTGAAATGTCTTTGCTTTGAGAGAAAGATATCACATTTTTCCTGTTCCTCGAATTGAACATCTGGGAAGGGGTTCGTAGCTTATCAGACTGGTTGGGCACATTGCTCGAACTGTTTTTGGATGTTGGCAAGTCATGAGAACTGAAGGAGCTTGGGTGAGTGGGGTTGGACATGGTGTAGCTAGGAAGGACTTTCTTGGTATCAGGTGTCCATAAGGAACCGTTTCTGGGCAAGGTGAAAATGTTATGGGCATTGCTTGATTTTTGGTTATTACCAAGGTTCATTGTAGAACTGAGGCTATCCGGGCTCTGTTCAGGGTGATTCTGTGTGTCGGCAGGCCCAGGGAGTGTATGATGAGAAAGAGGGTACCCCAAGGAAGCACGGTCATAATGATCCAGTCCCGCAGCATCTTTCTGGTTATGGTTCCGCCAGGGCAGTGTCGATCTGCGTGGGAGAGTTTGGCTTTTCATAAAGTATAGTCGATCTGACCCATCCCCTTGAGTATACTGCAACTGCCCCTCCCTAGCGGACTTGGCAGCATTCGCGGTGCTGCCAGGGTGAGAGAGAGGAGTAGTGGCATATATAGAGGAGGAGAGTGTTCCGGGACTGCCTAAGGCAGAACCACCTCCCCGCAGAGACAGCAAAATGCTGCTTGGGGATGAATACCCTTTGAAACGAGCCACAGGAGGTTGCTGGCAACTGACCTCAGATATTCTCCTGTAATGGTGGACATCCAGCGAGCTGCAGTGGCCATTGCCTGGACGTACAAGTGAGGAGCTGGAACCAGTGGAGATCTTTGTGCTGTTGTCCAGTGAGACAGATGCAGACAAAGGTATCCTTGATGTAGTCCTCTCAGGAAGCCAGCCAACCAAACCCCGTGCACTCTCAGTGGCTGGTTGTCTCTGTGGAGTGTCAGGTCCATGAAATATTACCTTGTCCTGCACAGTCTTTCTGCCCAGAAATGAATGAGAAACTGAATTTCTGTGTCTGAGAGTCTGCTGCTCCTTAAAAACATAAGAGTTGCACCTGACTTCCTGGCTCCTCCCGTTGGCTTCCTTTACAGCCTGTGGGGTTTCAGCTCCCTGCTTGGGTCTCCTAAACTTTCCTGTCCAATGCGGAGCAACAACTGTGACCACTGAAGGAGGCAACATGGTTACTAGTGGATTGAGGTGAGCAGGCAACTCTGAATGGGGCGTTTCATCGCTTTGGAGTTGGAGGGTGGGCAAGGAGTTGGAATGCTTCAGACCAGAAAAAGAGGCAACAATTGGCAAAAGAACAAGGTTAGACTTGGGAAGGTCTGAGTTTCTCTGACAATCGAAAGCTTGTTCAGTGTGAAAGGCAATCCCACTGGCAGGCTGATTTAGCAAGAAGACAGCAGAATCTTTTAACAAGTCAGTGCCGGTGGATTCTCGAAGCAAGTCACTGCCGGTAGACTCTCCGAGCAACTCAATGAAGGTGGATTCTCTGAGAAATTTAATGCTGGTGGATTCTCCAAGTGAGTCAGTGATGGTGGATTCTCCAAGTGAGTCAGTGACAGGAGGATCTCCAAGCGAGTCAGTGACAGGAGGCTCTACAAGTGAGTCAGTGAGGCTGTTGTGGTAGCTCCCACGTTTGTGTGCTACACACAGGTCTATCTGGTCTCTGAGAATTGGCTTTCTGGGTTCTTCTGGGACTGAAGGATAACAAGCTCTCCTTTGGACTGGTCTAGTCTCTGGTTTCCTGGGTTCTACATGATGTTCTGAAGGTCTGTGGTCTGGGGCCCCTAAAACAAAGGGTACAGTTTTAGGAACAGCATAAAAACATTTTCCTATTTACCACATTCTACAATTTTCATACGAGTGACATCATACATGAGAGATTCTCCTCACCTTCAGAGTCTTCTTGTTGTTGAACAGTGGGGCTGTTGTTTGTCAAATCTGGATGTGGTCCCTGTTCAGTGAAGAATGGGAGTCCATTATTCTTATTAATTATTATTTTTCTTCTTATTACTACTACTGTTATTATTACTACTACTACTACTACTACTCTGGAAATGCTTATTTTGGCCCATCTCAGACTACTGGTAAATTCTTCTATGGACCCTCTACTGACAAGGTAATATTTCATGGACCCCCTGCTCATTTACATGCGGCACAGATCCATGTCCCACTTGGAAAAGCTGGGAATCATTGTGAGAATCATGTTCTTTGATTTCTCCAGTGCATTCAGCACTATAATACCATCACTGCTGAGGAACAAAATAGAAAGGATAGCACCTTGTATCCCAGACTATCGACTACTTCACCAACAGACCACAGTATGTTAGAACACTGGACTGTGTGTTGGGTAGTACAGGTTCTCCATAGGGAACTGCTTCTGTTCACCGGAGACTTTGCATACAACACATACAGTTGTCACATCCAGAAATTTTCAGATGACTTGCTGTTTGCTGGCTGTATTACAGGTGGTGATGAGCGCAAATACAGGGGGACTCAATGACTTTGCAGAGTGGTGCCAGAGAAACTGCCTCCAGCTCAATGCTTAAAACACCAAGGAGCATCATTGCACTATTAGTATTGTTATTATTATTGTTGTCAATTAATTATTATTATTATTGTTGCTGTCATTATCATTACTGTTATGTGCCATATTATCCTTATGGGTACCAGGAAAATTATCCCCACACCTTCAAAATAGAGGTTTTTAATCACATTGTGGGGACATTGTAATCTCATCTCACCTGATATGGCTTCGGCCTTCACCCTTTAACAGATTATTTAATATTCATTTGAAAACCCTGCTTCTGATAGTCACACAAGAAGGCAGAAGCAGAATGAGTGACATTTGGAAGTGTGACTCTCCATATGAGTCCCAGGTATGCCTGGGCCCCTGTCAATTAAACTTCAGAGCCCATGCTGCTGAACGGATTTGCGTAATTGGACAATCCAGTTAATGTGGCTAATTTTTGAAGGATAGTACAGGTGTCTGGGGGGAACTTCAAGACACTGATCTTCTCCACACAGGGAAATGGGCCACTGTACCTGCTCTGTAAGGTGGACACCAGAATGCTCCTGATCTCCAGCCCCTGCACTGGGTCCACTGGTTCCAGCACAGCTGCAGAACAGAAGGCAGAAATCAAACAACCGCCAGGCAGATGCCTCCCACATCCCAGCAGCTGCAGCTCTAGTAATGGGATTCACCCCAAACTGCTTCTGCCAAATGCTGGCTGAGGGCATATTAAATGTAATCCCAAGAGCCATGTTTCTCCGAAGCAACGACCACAACAAACACAGACTCCTCACACTAAACTGCAGGTCAGTGCCGGCTCTACACAGCGCATTTATTCACCAAGCTGACACTGTGACCCACAGCGGTACATGTGGCTGCTGCAGCAGGAACTCGACACCTTCAAAGGGGCCAACTCGCTCTGCACGCAAATGGGATCCAGTGTCTCCCTGCAGAGCTACGCCCAGACAGGGCAGCTTCAGAGTGAGTTGAAAACTCGCTGGCTGCATGTTGGAGACAGCCCAGCTGTTCCCAAAGGCACCAGCTGGGCCACATTCCATCCTAGCCCCGCCCTGTGCTGCTCTCGACGCCAGCACACCCCACCCAGGAGGGACGCACCCTTGGCGGAATGGGGGATAAGGGCTCTCATGCGTGTCACTCTAAAGAGCTCATTGTACCGTGCCACATGACATATGTAAGCCTAACCTTCTGCCCTCAATTATTTTAACACTGGTATGCTCAGGCAGAGGCCCGCCATCACCAGGAACCTCTGCTGTTCATGGTCAGCCATGCATGGTGCATCCAAAGCTAGGCAGCAGGCAGCCCACCTGCCTCGGTGCTTACCTGAAGCTGCTGTCTCGGCTCCTGCGGGAGGCTGATCCCTTCTGGAGGAACCGGAAGGCCAACAGCGAGGTGACCCGGGAACGGAATGAGGCCCGGCTGGGGGAGACGGCCTTGCCGTGGTTCTCCCTCCTGTCCCCAGGCTTTCTGAGAAGCCTCCCTGACGTCAGGGATGTCTCTAAGGTAAGAAGAATGAGAACATTCCAGAATCAGGACCTAGCATCTGCCAGCTACCTGTCACATTGATCACAAGTCACCATAATTACATACAGGTTAGAGGTTCTTCTCTGTTTTTCTGTGTTTCAGGCTGCAAACAGCTGTAGCACATGGTTCACCCAGTATGTGGATCCATGTGTTGTAAATGTCATGAAAGTGTCACTGCCATAAAAATGTAAACTCACTTTTTACAACCCAGCTCTCAAGTCCTGCACTTGTAATGATTAAACCTCATTGGCCCAGTTCTGTCACCTCCAGTATCCAATAGGAAGCTTAGAAAAGTGCACACAGTTAGAGTAAGACAGACATGGTCTCACACATACACCGGGACTAGCAGTGTGTGCGTATCTGTCAGCTGTGTGTCTTATCACCTAGCCTCTTACCTCTGGGTGTGAGAGGTGACTGGGTGTGGTGCCCGTTGTCGGTTCCGTTCCTCCGCTTGGACTGCTGGATCTCCTGGAACCACTGGCCCGACACCCCCTTCAACCAGCGCTGGTCCCTCCATCCATCGCCCTGGATCTTCCTGATACAAGGAAACCAGAAACCAGTGTCAATGTATGGAGAGAATCTGCATTAAACTGAAAGTCAGATTGTGCGTGAGCCTAAAGAAAACATTCAGGCATCGAGTTATTAAAGCGATAACAATGCTAAACCAAGAACACTATAATACATGCAGAGTTATAACTCAGATAAGCACGCTAACTGACAGAGAAGCGGGACCAGACTCAGGACGCCAATGACACTGAGGCAAACTCAGATCTGAGATCAGATGATAGATGTAGTGAGGGCAAGTTCATGCAGAAATTACTAAGGCTGTTAGCATTAGCATGGCTAATGCAGCAACCTGAAACAACCCCCCCACAAAGTTCATGAGAGTTGTGAACCCAGAGCTCAAATAACCTTGGCAACTGCACTACTTCTCACAACATGCAAGTGTTCCCAGCCTCAAAAAAACGACAATAGCTGATTTTACACTATTACGCAAGCACCAGCAAGATAAACATGATACGATAACCATGATAAAGCTAATTACACACATAGAGGGCTAAGACAGTAATAACTATGCCAACACCGACAGTTTATGGACAGAATAGTAGTAAGATTATTATGTTTTCCATTAATGCTTAAGGGTATGTGCAAATGGTAAGTTAACCATGCTAAGACTAGAGTATGACTTGCTAAACATGGATGCGTATGTTATTACTAAGGTCAGGGCAGTGGTGGCTTACTGGTTAGGGATGCGTGCTTGTAATTGAAAAATTGCAGGTTCGAATCCCTGACCAGCAAGGCACCACAGAGGTACCGCAAAGTACTGCCCCCAAGCACTACTGCCTGGGTGCTGGATCAGCTGCCCCCTGCTATGTCACATACTGTATGGGTTAAATGCAGAGAACACATTTTGTGTTCTCTGGTCAATGACAATTAAGGACTAAGGTTAAACTAAGGGTTTGATAATGGGGTGGGGACACAACTAAATAATTTAATGGTAAATTAAATATTGGGGAGCACATGTCCCCTAAGTACCTATGTGTCTGCACAAGCTTCTCCACTGCCCTGGGATCCCAGCCACATGTGAATGCACCACCACTCAAGCCATTATTTGTGTGGGGCTGCCTGCTGGCCACAAACAATCACTACACTGGGGGGCCTCAAATTGACTTTTTGGATGAACAAAACCGCTCATGGGGGTCACACTGGAAAGAGAGGACATCACACAGCAGACTGTAAGTGCCAGAAAGCAGTCGGCGCAGCACGCCGTTGCCCTACCCAGTTAGCCCCGAGCTCCAGAGAAACGCAAAGCAGCAGCCAATGGTACATCCTGCAGAAGACGTGCCCTCTCCTGCAAACCGCACGCTTTTAAGTGTCACAGGCAATGTGTTGCATAACACTGCATCAAACATATACGACGTGCGCAATAATTATTTTCGCATATCTAAGACGCGTAGCCTTCGAGTTCACGTGTCCAAAACTGAAAATCTGACCACCGGGAGTGGTTCGGGGTGGGGGGGTTCACTTGACAACTTGCATGGCCCCCCTGTGCACCCACCTACATACGTATGTTACTTGAATATATTATTAATATTGTTTACATTTATATATGTGGGCGAATATATTCTGTGCGCTGGGGACAGGCGAAACAAACGTAAGAACATTTTCTTGACGGACTCTTAACGCGGGTGCGCCAGATGGTCGGGTCGTTTTAACAGGTGAAAAGCGAAGTTAACAACATAAGACAAATAATCAAGCTTGTGGAAGCAAGATAGTCTAAACAAGAAATCAGAGCGAGTTATATACTTGTTAAAAACTGTAAAAGGTTTTCAAAATTGTCTTTTGTTTCTTAATGCAGGCAGTCTAATGAACGTAATATACTTGGAGGATATTAAGGTCAAATGCATCTGGCCCCCCTGACAGAAAAACTGGCCCCAGTCTGGCCGCCAAGTTCAAATGGTCTGGAACCTCTCCTGCTGACCACTATCCCACGTAGAGATCAATCAAATACACTTACCCACACACTAAGAATAGCGATGAGTCATCATGCACCCACCCCCCCGGAACGACAAAAAGAACAGAGAATACGTATCAGGGGAGGACTGACATCTCAGTCCAACCTGCCTTACGCACATTTGAAAACTATTATGACGATTCTAAACAGCGAAACACCTTTACAAAAAAATATAGGCGTACGTACAGGTGTTCGTGTAGTGTTAGGTAAAGTTCTGTCAAAAGTACTAAGCTAACCAGAATGATAAAATACAGTTTTGTACATATTTCTATCGCGATAAAAAAGAAACAATACTAATTTAAAAGTCATTTTTAGTGCCGCCTGATCACCCCGGTTGAGCCGCATTTCACACGCTGTACGGAGCCCCGGGAGACGCCAATCTGCGTTTGACAGAGCGATATGCTGTCATCAGGCTTCAGTCGTAATCCTGCAGAAAACCATTAGGATCCGGAAGTCGCCGCGCAGCCCTGCTACGCCAGTGCTTCTTCCCGGTGCCCACAAGTCACTCACTGTATGCGTGCATGCTGGCACAGCTAAATACAGATGTTAAGAAATACAGGTGCTGCGATTTTTACATTTTCCAATCCTGCTGATTTCAGAAAGAACTTTTGACAGCGTGTGTAAATCACCGAAACTCCATTTGAATAAAAAGGAGCCGCAGTTTAACCAAGGGGCAATTTAATGTTTCTTATTATAATTTCAAATAAGCATCAGCGGCATTGCAGTGGAATTTAGTGACGAGATACACTGTCGGTTTTTAATGCAGAATTGTTTCCAATTTCGGTAAATGTCTCATCGTATTTGCAAAAGAATAATAGTTTTTCTTACTTACTGAAGTCTGTCTTCCTCGCACTTTTTCAGCAACTTGTCTCTCGCAAGTACATCCTGGATTGCGCTAACCTCTTCTGTGCTCAGGAAGCTGAAATCCAGGTTTGTTTCATGTTTTGACATCCTGTTTTGTCGCTTTCCCTCCTCCCACTGGCTTTGCCCGCATTAAAGGCGCTTCGCAGGCAGCGCACACATCGGAGAGGCTCAGGTCTGCAGCCAGTCCCGATGCCCGCTCACCAGGCAGATATTTACCTTTTATTTCCGTCACCTATGGTGGATGACATTTCTTTGCTTGAGAGATACGAAGTCTTTTGTTTTATTTCCAAAACAATTCTCCCGAGTTTCCCGTATAGAAACAAACCGTCGGCGTAAATATATCGTGGCCCGTAACCATTAAGCTGTGGTCATTAGAGAGGCCAGGCCTTTTGAACAAGTTGCCGCTGTGCTTTGCATAAGATTCCCTCACAGTCCAGCGTGTCAGCCCATCTGCTCGCTGTATCAGATTACCAGTGGACTTTATCTCTTTAGACGTGTAAAATAAATATGGGCGTATCATAGATGCATTCCTTCAGTTTGTTTTGCTAACTAATTTTAGGTAGGCATGCTGCCGGCTGAATCTCAACAATAATAATAACCTTGTATTTAAGTCCTTATAAAAAATATGAATATATTACGTAGAGAGAACTAAAATAACTATAATGTCAATAGTCCTTGTTGTTAGTATGCCCTCTTGCGACACTGAACAAAACTACTTTTGAAAAAGGAAAAAAAGTACCGTCGTTTGTAATTTTTAATAAAAGCCATTAGAGGGCGAAATCGTCACATTTATTAGAGTTCTGAGAAGCCAGACAATTTACATGACCATGGGCATAAATTATGGGGGCTACAATAATCAAAACCAGCCAATATAACCCCCTGGAGCCCTCAATCCCTCAATGCTCAACCCAAAGTAATGCCTTTTGATCATGACAGAACATTTAGCTCCGTGGAAGAAGGTTCCTATTTTAATAGTATAGCTATACATCTGAGGTGCTTTTCCACTGCACCAGGTACCGTACTTTTGTTACATCAAAAAGTACCAAAGTTATAGGAGGCCTGCATCAAGATGTTGGCTTTCCACTGACGTAAAAACTTACCGCAGCTAAGTGACATCACAACGTGAGGCAGAGTAACCTATTTTATAGGCTACTGAATATGAAAAATGGCTGTAATATGTTAAAGGGGTGGGCGATGTGCAATATTAATACAAACATTGCATGATACACATCGCAAGGACCACTATAGTTGGTTGGTTTGAGATCAGGCCTTGTCATATCTTCTTATTGTCCAGATAATATAGCGCGGGGGGGTGGTGGGGTGGTTTGTTTCACTAAAACGTTTTTACTTTGTCATCGGAAACAAAACTTAGCAGACACTGCAATTTTAATGATTGCTCATTTTTAAGGTTATCTAGTATGTTTAAAAAATCAGTTGAAAGTTTACCGCTGCTGCTTTTGCATGAGCGCTGCATGCGTCCTCTGAGACAAGCATAGTCATTTCCATCCTAGTAGTTTAAATCACTCCTACAGTAGATGGGTTTGTGAGAAATTTATGTTGAACTCCTTTTTGGCTTTATAAATACCCCAGTATTTATTACAATAAAATCACATTACAATATTTGTTT